GGACGCGCTGACTATCCCAGGCGCCTCTGGGGTGGACCACAGCTCCCATCACTCAGCTTTGGGGCTGAAGGCTGGCATGATGGGACTTGTCGTCGAATCACATGGCCAAGGAGCCCGGCGAGGTCAAGGGGACTGAAGGTCGAGGCGGGCGACCCCCCCCCCCAATGCGGCCCTGCCAGCCTCGCCCACGGAAGCGATGCCCGCCGACGAGGTCTCAGCCCTTCCCACGCTCTGGCTGCCTTCCCCACGACGCCTTTCGCCCGATTAGGTGACCAACTTTCCCGAAAGTGAGACCAATGAATCAGTGGAACGACTTGCCTCCAGAAGTTGTGAATGCGCCAACGCTGGAAGTTTTTAAGCAGAAATTAGATAACCCTTTGCCTGAAGTGATGTAGGGGTTTGCTGCCTAAGCAGGGGGTTGGACTAGAAGACCTCCAAGGTCCCTTCCAACTCTGTTATTCTATTCTATTCTATTCTATTCTATTCTATTCTATTCTATTCTATTCTATTCTATTCTATTCCATTCCATTCCATAGTATTGTATTGTATTGTATTGTATTGTATTCTATTCTATTCTATTCTATTCTATTCCATTCCATTCCATATTTTCTATTCTATTCTATTCTATTCTATTCTATTCTATTCTATTCTATTCTATTCTATTCTCCATTCCATTCCATTCCATTCCATAGTATTATATTGTATTGTATTGTATTCTATTCTATTCCATTCCATTCCATTCCATATTTTCTATTCCATTCCATTCCATTCCATTCCATTCCATATTTTCTATTCTATTCTATTCTATTCTATTCTATTCTATTCTATTCTATTCTATTCCATTCTATTCCATATTTTCTATGCTATGCTATGCTATGCTATGCTATGCTATGCTATGCTATGCTATGCTATTCCATTCCATTCCATTCCATATTTTCTATTCCATTCTATTCCATTCCAATCCAATCCATTCCATTCAATTCTATTCCATTCTTCTATTCTATTCTATTCTATTCTATTCTATTCTATTCTATTCTATTCTATTCTATTCTATTCTATTCTATTTTCCATTCCATTCCATAGTATTGTATTGTATTGTATTGTATTGTATTGTATTCTATTCTATTCTATTCCATTCCATTCCATATTTTCTATTCCATTCCATTCCATTCCATTCCATTCCATATTTTCTATTCTATTCTATTCTATTCTATTCTATTCTATTCTATTCTATTCTATCCATATTTTCTATTCTATTCTATTCTATTCTATTCTATTCTATTCTATTCTCCATTCCATTCCATTCCATTCCATAGTATTATATTGTATTGTATTGTATTTATTCTATTCCATTCCATTCCATTCCATATTTTCTATTCCATTCCATTCCATTCCATTCCATTCCATATTTTCTATTCTATTCTATTCTATTCTTTCTATTCTATTCTATTCTATTCTATTCCATTCTATTCCATATTTTCTATGCTATGCTATGCTATGCTATGCTATGCTATTCCATTCCATTCCATTCCATATTTTCTATTCCATTCTATTCCATTCCAATCCAATCCATTCCATTCCATTCTATTCCATTCTTTCTATTCTATTCTATTCTATTCTATTCTATTCTATTCTATTCTATTCTATTCTATTCTATTCTATTCTATTCTATTTCCATTCCATTCCATTCCATAGTATTGTATTGTATTGTATTGTATTGTATTCTATTCTATTCTATTCTATTCCATTCCATTCCATATTTTCTATTCCATTCCATTCCATTCCATTCCATATTTTCTATTCTATTCTATTCTATTCTATTCTATTCTATTCTATTCTATTCTATTCTATTCTATTCTATTCTATTCTATTCTATTCTATTCTATTCCATTCTATTCCATATTTTCTATGCTATGCTATGCTATGCTATGCTATGCTATGCTATGCTATGCTATGCTATTCCATTCCATTCCATTCTATTCCATTCTTTCTATTCTATTCTATTCTATTCTAGTCTAGTCTAGTCTAGTTTTGTCTAGTCTAGTCTAGTCTAAATCCTGCAGCTCATCAGACGAGAAAGCCCGATGCCCCGGTTACCTCTAACCCAGGTTAACTCTAACCAAGCTATCTCAAATGTGCTTTTTTTCAAGAGACAACTGGACTTGCTGGGTTTTTTTCCTTTGAAGACCTTTCGCTGCTCATCCAAGAAGCTTCTTCAGCTCTGACTGGATGGTGTGTGTGGGGGGGCAGGATTGGAAGGATTTGCCCGTCTTGATGCCCACCATCCAGTCAGAGCTGAAGAAACTTCTTGGATGAGCAGCGAAACGTCTTTCAAAGCAAAAACACCAAGAAAGTCCAGTTACCTCTTGAAAAAAAGAAAAAACCAAGCACCTTTGGGACAACCATCACCTGGGATGGCTGAGAATCTCCATAGACCTCTATCCAAGCTAAACACGCGTGATGGTCTTACGGAATGATGAGACCAAACAACATTCCTGGTCAGCCAGAGACAGTTTATTGCGCAGTTTCAGAATCAGATTTGTATCTGCAACGGATAACAAGTAACTTTTGTTTCATAGGGATGTCCTTGAATTTTTGACAGCTAGGCCCCTCAGAGGATATATATTACCAAGAATGGAATTTAGCTGACTTAGTGTAATCTCTAAACAAGCATATTTCTTCCTTATAATAATGTGAATAAAGAGGGTCCTTCAGTGTTCATATAGCTGACCCTGTACTATTCCTACATCATTCACATTCGTGGGAAGAGCGGGTCTCCCACGCTTTCGCCAAACCCAGGGACAACCCACAGTGTGAAATGAGAGGCAAGAATTTGTAGGTGCCACGGAAGGTGACACGGAAGGCGCTCAGCCGTAAACCACAGCACTTTTAAGCTTTAAAAAAAAAATCGCAGAAGTCCCGAAGCTCAAACTGCTATATATCAAGTTTCCCGCATTTTAAATCCAAATCTTGCTTTTTTGGGGGTGTGTGTCTGTGTGTGTCATTTATGGCGCTGGAAACTGTGAAAACAACAACCCGGGATGCGGCCAACCGAGCATGCGCAGAACGGTATCGCAGTTAGCCGGCGGGTGTCATCTAGAAGTAATCCAAGTTTATGAATGATCCGTTTGAGTCAGCGGAAGGATCGCCCTTCCAGGCTCGCCTGGACTTTCCACCTCCAGAGAGACTTTCCAAACTGGTTGCTGGCAGATCGAAACGGCGTCGCAATTTCAGGCTGCTGCAACGTTGCACGCGCCCGTTTGGTACTCTCAATCCCATGATCCCCAGCCCGCCGCCTTATGGGATAATGAATACCCGCTGTCCTTCCCCCCCCCCCCCCCCCCCCCCCCCCCCCCCGCGACAGGCCGTCTTGACGGCTCGCGTGGCCTGGTTGCTTGGTTAGGTAAAGGTTCCCCTCGCACATATGTGCTAGTCGTTCCCGACTCTAGGGGGCGGTGCTCATCTCCGATTCAAAGCAGAAGAGCCAGTGCTGTCCGAAGAGGTCTCGGGGTCATGTGGCCTGCATATGACTAAACACCAAAGGAGCACAGAACGCTGTTCCCTTCCCACCAAAAGTGGTCCCTATTTTTCTACTTGCATTTTTTACATGCTTTCGAACTGCTAGGTTAGCAGAAGTTGGGACAAGCAACGGGAGCTCACTATGTTACGCGGCACTAGGGACTCGAACCGCTGAACTGCCGACCTTCCGATCAAGCTTAGCGTCTTAGCTACTGAGCCACCCCGTTCCTCTTGGGTTGCTTGGTTAGATTTACTTTTTTCCGACTCCCATGTGCAGCTCGGTGCGTGAGTTTTTGATACGGTATGCCGAATCTTTTTTAGGCAATCCGGATTGGGAATCTAGGAAAAGGGGTTGCTCTCCAACCCGGGGGTTATAAATGCAACCCACGCTCCCCCCTCACCCCTTTTGCAAATCCCGCCACCGAGCCTCGAGGTTTCCTTGTCACCACGGCTAAAGGGCTGTGGGGACACACGTCCCTTCTGTAACTCTTCCACTGAATTTTCTTTCCCCGCCGCACCTTGTAAAAACCCTCTCCACGTCGGTATTTTTTCCCCCCTCAAACCTTGACAGCTTGAAGACGCGTGGACTTCAAGTTCCAGAATTTTTGGGAATTGAAGTCCACGCGTCTTCAAGTTGAGAAACTTCGGGCACCCATCAAATCATGAGGCAGGGAATTCCGCGGGACGCTACTTGCAGATCACCTGTCATCTTCTTCTTTTGGAAAGCTTAGCCAAGAAGCGCAGGATGGAGAGGTAGGGGCCGAACCTTTCCAAAGCCCTTACATCGCCTGCAGCGATTCCGGGCCGTAACAGCCTGGCACCCGCCTCCACCCCTTGCCAAAAGAGATCCCCGGCTCCCTTCCAAGCTCCTCCGCCTTGGCTCTCTCTCTCTTTCTCTCTTGTCTTTCTCTTTCTCTCTTCCTTCCAATTTGGGAACCTTGCCCGGCGGGGAAGAAAACCCACCAGCTGGTGCGTAAAAGCGCGATCGGTGCGTAAAAGTGCCGGTTTTGCGCTCTCTTTCGCCTCTCCCGGCCTGACCAGGGGTGACCCTCGCGCCTGGCCGGCCTCCTTCCTCCTCCTCCTCTTCCTCCTCCCCCCCCCCCCCCCCCCCCGTCGGTGGTCCTGCGAGACGCGCCTCCACCTCCGCCCCTTCCTTCCACCCCCCCTCCCTCCCTTCCACCGGGAAGGTCTGGCGAAGCGAGCCTCCTTTAGACTCCAGGCATGTCGAGAGAAGCTGCGTGAGATCACCCGGGTTATAAATATCTCCGTGCACAGCGCCGCGGCTCTCGGACCCCCGCGCTCTCTCGCTCTCGCTCTCTCCCTCTCCGCGGGGCCGACTATGCCGCCTTCCCGGCGCGGCGGAGCGCACGGCCGGCTGCCCCGTAGGTGCAGCGGCGGCGGCGGCGGCGGCGGGAGGAGCAGCAGCCGCAGCCGCAGCAGCAGCCGCCGCCGCCGCTGGTTCTCCTCCTCCTCCTCCTCCAAAATGCCAGGCGCGTCTCTCGGGCTGGAAGCATGAGCCTGCCTTTCTCCAGCTGCTGCCTCCTCCTCCTCCTCCTCTTGCTTAGTGGCCACTTGATCCTCCCGGCTTTGGCGCACCCGCGGCCCCCTCGGGCGCAATTTGGAGAGGCCGAGCAGCCCCACAACGTTGGCAGCGGCAGCAGCAATCTTGGAAATCGCCCCGCCACTTCGTCTCTCTCCTCCTCCTCCTCCTCCTCCTCTTCCTCCTCCTCTTCTTCTTCTTCCTCCTCCTCCTCCTTTTCCGCACCTTCCTCTTATTCCTCCCCTTCCTCCTCGGGAGTTCAAAGCGGCGGCTCGGAGATGAGCCGTTTTAAGTGGAGTCCCTCCGGACGTCGAACGGGGAGCCTCTACTGCAGGGTGGGCATCGGTTTCCATCTCCAGATCCACCCTGATGGGCAGGTCAACGGCTCCCACCACGACAGCCTCTTAAGTAAGTAAAGCGAGCAAAAGCCTCGGGCGCCTCCCCGCCCCTTTCGTTTGAGCGACCCGTCGGCTAAGTTCTGCATTTCGGGGAGCCGGAGGGAGGTGGGTCCGTCAGCGCGCCTGGTTGCACGCCTGAGTGTTTTGGTTTTGTTTTTTTTTAAAGTGCATCTTAAAAACATTTAATTGATAGTTCAGAATGTCTCTCGCTCGGCTCAGTCCCTGGGCGATTCCTCTCCGTTCTTGCCTTAATTTCTAGCCTTGAAGCGCTCCGGGAGTTAAATTTATTTATTTATTTATTAGACTTCTATACCACCCTTCTCCCGAAGGACTCAGGGTGGTGTACAGCCATATTAAAACACATAGATTTACAAAATTTGTAATTCCTATCTTGCCAGGCTCAAGGTTGACTCAGCCTTCCATCCTTTCTAAGGTAGGTAAATTGAGGACCCAGTTTGTGGGGGCAATAAGCTGACTTTGTATAAAATATACAAAAGTATGAAGGCTATTGCTTAACGCACTGTAAGCCGCCCTGAGTCTCCGGAGAAGGGCAGCATATAAATCAAATAAAAAAAAATTTTTTTAAAAAACCAATTAAAATCAAATATATAAAATATGGCTCAAAAATTAAGACATACATACATACACCCCTTATAAAATTCGTATTAAGCCAATCCGGCTTGCTGGAACAGAAGGGTCTTCAGGGCACGGCGAAAGGTACGCAGGTCGGGGCTAAAACAAAGCTCTAGGGGGAGCTCATTCCAGAGGGCTGGTGCCCCCGCAGAGAAGGCTCTCCCCCTGGGTGTCGCCAGTCGACATTGTTTAGCCAACGGCACCCTGAGGAGCCCCTCTCTGTGGGAGCATATTGGGCGGTGGGAGGCTGTTGGTGGCAGAAGGCGGTCTCGTATATACCCCGGTCCTATTCAGGTGCTTTCAAACGCCTTTGGGATTTTTGCTGCGGTGCAAGGCAGTGAAAATCCTAAACGTCGAGAGCGGTGAAATCTGGACGAGAGGTACTTCTGGCTAAATAAAGTCTCTGCAAATTGGCCGTGGAAGATATCTGATGCTAATGCAAGCTGCTGAGCGAAGCCTTAACAAATATGTGGATAAGCAGTCCTGCATGAAAATTACCGGAAAGTATTACAATAATAATTGGGGAGAGGGTGGGGGAGAAGCTCAGGTTTCTGCTTTCTTGAAATCAGGAATATTCCTTGGGTCTTTCAAGGGCGCTACTGTCCCGTTAAGTAGGTTTAGACTCAGTTCGGTTTAAAAAGACAGAATTTTGCCCAGGGAGAGAAAACCTTACAGAATGAGGCTGTTGGCTTCATTGACATGCTGCGAAGCAAATCCCATTGAAATCAGGGGGGAATTTAGTTGGTGTAACTGTGGAAGAAATGGGTCGCTTGCGACTACAAAAACTAATTCCAGAACCGGATGCAAACATTGGCAGGAATGCAGCACAGGTAGTCCTCCACTTACGACCACAATTGAGCCCAAATTTTGGGTCGCTAAGTGAGGCAGTTGAAGTAAGCTTGCCTCATTTTACATTATTTTTTTTACCTCGTTGTTAAGTGAATCACTGCAGTTGTTCAGTTAGTAACATGAATTAAGTTAGTTAAGTGAATCTGGCTTTCCCATTGACTTTGCTTGCCAGAAGGTCGCAAAAGGCGATCACATGACCCCAGGACATGGCAACCGTCATAAATACATGCCGCTTGCTAAGTTGTCTGAATTTTGATCACATGACCATGGGGATGCTGCAAAGGTGGTTAAATGTCAAAAATGTTCCTAAGTTCCTTCGTAACTTCGAATGGTCACTAAATGAATGGTTGTAAGTTAAGGACTGCCTGCAGAATGATTGGCCAATGCTAATGCTTGGGAGGGGTCCTAATGCAAATAATGCATGGTGCAGATGAAGGGGGGGATACGTGAAAGGCACCACTAGAGTGTGAATCGCAAGGCGCAGTTGATATATTTTGCAACATCACATGTTTTTCCTGGACTGTACCACTTCAGGCAGCAGCTGGGAAGATTGCTGGATTTGGGTAGTGAAGGACTAGGCTAGAGGTAACATAATCGCAGTCTTACAATATTTGAGGGGCTGTCACAGAGAAGAAGGGGTCAACCTATTCTCCAAAGCACCTGAGGGCAGGACAAGAAGTAACCGATGGAAACTTATAAAGGAGAGAAGCAACCTAGAACTAAGGAGAAACTTCCTGATAGTTAGGACAATTAATCAGGGAAGTGGTTTGCCTTCAAAAGTTGTGGGTGCTCCATCACTGGAGGCTTTAAAGAAGAGATTGGACAACCATTTGTCTGAAATGGTAGAGGGTCTCCAGCCTGAGCAAAGGGTTGGACTAGAAGACCTCCAAGGTCCCTTCCAACACAGTTGTTCTGTTAACTACGGTGTGCTACGACTCAGCTAATGCTAGAAAGCCAATTCAGTGTCATTGCCAGCAATAAAGTTTTGAATTCAAACATCTAGAATCAAGATCATGTGAAGTGTTAATACCACTTTATAATGCCTTGGTAAGGCTACCCTTGGAATACTGCATCCAGTTTTGGTCGCCACGATGTAAAAAAAGATGTTGAGAGTCCAGAAAGAGTGCAGAGAAGAGCAACAAAGATGATTAGGGAACTGGAGGCTAAAACATATGAAGAATGATTGCAGGAACTGGGTATGTCTAGTTTAATGAAAACTAGGAGAGTAGGGTTGACATGATAGAAGTCTAAGGGACTGACGCAAAGAAGAGAGGGGGTCAAGCTATTCTCCAAAGCCCCTGAGGGCAGGACAAGAAGCAATGGATGGAAACTAATCAGGGAGAGAAGCAACCTAGAACTAAGGAGAAATTTCCTGACAGTTAGAACAATTGATCAGTGGAACAACTTGCCTCCAGAAGTTGTGAATGCTCCAACACTGGAAGTTTTTAAGAAGAGGTTGGATAACCATTTGTCTGAAGTGGTGTGAAGGGTTTCCTGCCTAAGCAGGGGGTTGGACTAGAAGACCTCCAAGGACCCTTCCAACTCTGTTATTCTATTCTATTCTATTCTATTCTATTCTATTCTATTCTATTCTATTCTGTTCTGTTCTATTCTGTTCTGTTCTGTTCTGTTCTGTTCTGTTCTGTTCTGTTCTGTTCTGTTCTGTTCTATCTGCTCCTCCATCTAATCAACGTGTGGCAGAAGGCAAACTTTCTGTCCAGAACGCGATTTCTCAGTCTTAAGTAAAAACATTAAAAAAAAATCAAAATTGTATTGGTCACCTAGGGTTCCAGGAAGCAATGATACCGATTTAACTCCCCTTCCTTTTAAAATTATGGGGGATGATTATGACAAGTGCTATTAATAGACGGGACAGCCTAAACATACACAGGTAGCCCTTGATTTACAACTGTTCATTTAGGGACTGTTCGAAGTTACAACGGCCCTGAAAAAAGCGACTTATGACCATTTTTTCACACTTACGACCAATGCAGCATCCCCCTGGTCACATCATCAAAACTCAGGCGCTTGGCAACTGGTTCGCATTTATGACAGTTTCGATGTCCCCGGGGGTCATGTCATCCCCTTTTGCGACCTTCTGACAAGCAAAGCCAATTAGGGAAATTGGATTCACTTAACAACCGTGTGACTAATTTAACAACTCCAGCGATTCACTGATCAGCTGAGGCACGGAAGGTCGTAAAATGGAGCAAAATTCACACTTGACAACTGTCTCACTTAGGCACAGAAATTTTGGGCTCAATTGTGGTCGTAAGTCGAGGACTACGTGCATTCAGGCTTGATGGCCTGAATAGAGAGGACAGAAATGGCCAAGATGAACTTTTGGGAGCCTCTGAATTTCCTGTGGTTTGCTAGGCTATTTTTGCAAAATAATGGGCTTTTTAAGAGAGCTGGCTAGACAGCCATCCTTCCTGCTTCTATTGCAATATTCTACATCGCAACGATATTGATGCTGTTTAACCAAGCCTTTTATTTACCCCGGCAAGAACAGGAACATCTGCTGAGCAATTCCAGCTAAAAACAAAAACAAAAAAAACCTTGCATCAGCATTTCCCGCGATTCATCCCACTTTTCTCTTTCTCTCTCTCTCTCTCTCACTCACTCTCACTCTCACTCTCACTCTCACTGCATTTTTCTGGTTTTTTTTACTGCCTTATTTGAATGACCCCCGCAGTTTTAAGCCAAATCTTTGTTGTATTCCCTCTTTGTTTTTCACTAGCTTTTCTTCTGTTGGAAGGCAACTCCCATCATGCCAGGAGTGGGATTTGCGGGTTCTCTGAACTGCATAAAATCTTAGCTAGAGGTTTGCCCGAACCCTTATGAACCCCCAGCAGCCTACTCCTACACCCAGGCCTAATTAGGCGGGAACATGGAACAGATGCAATAAAGCAGGGCTCTCCAACGTTGACAAGTTTAAGCCTGGCGGACTTCAACTCCCAGAATTCCCAATTCTGGGAGTTGAAGTCCTCTAGGCTTAAAGTTCCAAGGTTGGAAACCCCTGCAATAGAGGCAGGCCAAGGATTTGCAGCGGGGGACGGCTGGTTTTATGCCGGAATAGTTTTCTGAGGAAAAGAAAAGAAAAAAAAAAGATTCTTAGATTTCCTAACCCTGCAGAGGAAGGCACTCCAGCCTGGGAAAACCGCAATGTTGTGTTTCATTCGTTCAAAAGTTAGATCCTTCTGCAGTTCCAGAATCCCTTTTGTTGACCTTCAAGTCAAAAAAATCTGCTTCTGTGGTTTTTTTCTGCTTTTCGATGGCCCTCTGAAGCGGAGTAAAAAAATGCATCCTTTTGAGAGATGCAAAATCCCTCAAAAGGACTGGGAGGTAGAAGGAAAACAGAAGGGGAGGAAGAGCTGTCTAGTCGTGAAGTATTTGATTTGGAAAGCAGAGAAAGAGAGAGAGAGAGAGAGAGAGAGGCTACACTTCAGTCCACCGAGACATGTTGCGTTAAGGAAGGAACTGTGACAGCCTAACCCAGTATTTCTCAGCCTTGACAGCTTTAAGATG